ACTTGCTTGATCACGCATCAAACTGCACTTCTTTTGGTGTTTTTGGTCTTGTAAAGAGTCCCAATAGTACTGGCAAAGTTATGTTCACTCCAAAGTAAATAGAGCCATTTTCCTTTACACAGTATCTTGGTGCTAACATGGAGGGCATGGAGAATCTCTGTCTTCTCAGCTCTGATGCTCATTGCATAGAAGAGAATCACTTCAGTGCAGGTCCAGCTCAGTCCCTGAAGCTTGGGACTGATGTTGTCGGTTGTGAGAAGGTCTGTGAGAGTTAGGCTGACCAATTCTCACCTGTGTTTGTAGGGCAGGCAGAGAGTTTTCAGAAATTAGGAGCTTGTCTGAATTGGGCAGTTCTTGCATTGAAGGCAAAACATTAAAGACAAGTTACAGGGAGCATATTCTTTTAATTTTCAAGACCTGTCCAAAGTTTTGTCACAGAGTGTTTTCCTTCAATAGGTAACAGTAAGAAATCAGAAAGCTGTAGTTAACACAGGAACATGAGCAATAACACTAATTTTTTTTTGTCCACTACCTTTTGAGGAGAGCATAAATAATTTCATCTGAATTTTGCCCTGGCCTGAAGCAGGCACCTGCCATCAACAATTCTAGCTGATTGCTTAAATTCTGACAAAGTTGTTCACAGCTCAAATCAGTGTCTCCTTACAAAAAATCTGTTACAGGAACTACTGTATGCCTACCATCAAGTGCCCCAAGCGCTTCTACATATCTTAATGTTCACACACAACACTTGCACTGTCACACTACTCCATCTAAACATTGAAGACTGGGCTTGGATCCCGCTGTCAAACCACTGAAGTATGCACTTAAACCTTGCCTCAGCTTCAAGTTTGAAATTAAGTGATCTGGTGGACTGAATTCCTCTGATCTACATTTTTACAATGTGAATTAAATTTGAAGCAGTTTTTTGAAAATTCAAAGTGGTCAAGATTTCTGGTACCTGGATCTGCAAATAATTTTACAGATGTCTCAGATTCTGCTGGTGACTTAATGATTTCAGTAGCAGTTCTGTGCACAGGTTTAAACATGTGCTACTATTGCCAGACTAATGCTTGCCTTTGAATTTCAGACAATTGTCTTCAGACTCTAAATCCTTTCCTTCCACCCATTTGCACCAAGAGTACTCTTTGTGTATAGGATTCTGCTGAGTACTTTTTGAAAGGCAAAATATGTTGTGCACTTTTTATGTAACATGACTTCTCTACAGTGACTTAAATACTACTTTTCATTTACTTTGACTTTCGTCTCATTTAAAACCACAAGCTAGTTTTGGCAAGCGTTAAGAGCTCTTAAATGATTTGTAATCTGTTTTTAATATGATCCTAGTTCAAGTTCAAACTGAATAAACATAGGGCTTAACTGAAACCTGCTGTCTTTCTGCTTTATTTGGGAAACTGCTACAAACCACAGGATAAGGGCTGATATATTTGTAAAGCAACAAGTATTACAATGAAAAAAAGATGGGCATTGACTGTTTTAATTGTTATTCTTCAGTAACCTTTTGGAGTTACAGGAATCAGAAAGCAGCTAGTTTAGCCAATTTTTTCACATTGCTCTGACAGAGAACTGTCCAGATAGTAACGTGCTGGAACAAGAGAGAATGTTCTCTCTTTATGTTTAAAATTGACCATCATTTAACTGTTTTACAGACTGTGCTTCCATGACCAGTGAAAGATTACTGAGTAAACTGAGGGAAATGGTTTCTGATTTATCACTTGGAAATTATGAGTATTAGGCTGGGGCACATAGCACGGGATCAGGATAAACCAAGAGATGGGGAGGGTGTAGGTTCTTTTATCAGTACACAGGTTTTCAAATGCATAACAGAAGTTAGCCCACAGCAGAGGTTGCATGGAGTTAACAACTCTATTTTCAGTATTCCCAGGCTTGGTGATTTTTCTAAAGCTTCATTTCCTCAAGTTATCTGATGCCATTAAATCTGCTTCCTCCCCTCCACCTTCTTTATAACTTCAAATTCTTGTGTCTTAGAGAGACATTGGATAGATAAATATGTTGATTTTAAGATTATTAGCTCAGCTATTAATCACCAGAAAAGTAAACAGAAACGTGTTGAAAAAAAATGCATTTTCATTCTATGTAAGTATTGAATTTTTAAAACCCCTCCTTTTTCAGCAGTTGATAACTGGCATTGCTGCTTCAACTTGCCTTTTCTGGAGAGGGTCTGAAAGCCCAGGAGCCCGATAACAATTAGCCAGAACTTTAGTTTGTTTGCCCAGAGATTTCATAAATCTAACAGATAGAAAAATCATTTATCTCCTAAAATCCAGTTTGTTTTGAAGTAACACATTCCATTTTTACGTGCAGATCAATAATATGTTTTTATAGTAATAATGGAGATAAGATGGGGCTGTGGATGAAATTTTCCACAGCTCAAATGCCCAAGCAAAGCAGAGGCCTGATCTGCAGTCCAAGCCCATAGCCTGTATTTCTGGCACGGTGGAGGGTCTCATGTTAAAGCCCAGCCTAGATGGGTTTCATGCCATCGGATCCAGCCATGAGACACAGGCCTGGATTTTAGGAGAACATTGCCTGCATAGAACTTTTTTAGTGGGCATTGATTTAATTGTTTAGATCATCCCCCATCTAGTTTTTTTGGGGTTTTTTGTGCTTAATTCCCTTAATCTGCATTGCTGTTGTGAGGAGCACCATATCAAAATGGGAAGAATAAATGAGCAAAACATCTGAGCAATGAAGATCAGGCATGTTCCGTGCTTGAAGACTGCACTTCTTAACTCCTTAGAATTTTTTAAAACCCCTCTCAACTCATGCCAAATTATTCATAACCACTTGCATTACTGCAAATGTGGCCTGAGCAACACCAAGCACAGCAGACAAAATACCTCCTCACTCGCTTAACACGGTGCCTGACTACAGCCCACGCTGAGCTGTAGCATTTGCCAGTCTCACAACAGCTCAGGGGTGCTGATTCACACACGGTGTCGTTCAGTGCACCACCCGTCGCTCCCCCTGGGGGAGTCCTCTCTGCCAGGGAGCCCGCAGGCTGCCTTGGCTCTTGTCAGCTTGTACCAAAACAAACCAGGATAAATGCGTCTGTACAGGCAATTACTCTGGTAAAATATTTCCACTTTAGTCCAAGATCTTGTGTGAGAACACAGGATACAAGGAGAGGGAAAAACAACCTTTTTCCTTGAAACTAAGAGGGGCAAAAAAAAAAAAAAAAAGGAGGAAGCACTTTATCTGGATGAAGTCTAAATCTTTTTTCCAGTGGATTTCTTGTATGTGTGATAAGAAGGGTTATCTGATGAAGAAAACTGTGGGGGTAAACAGCAATTAGAAAGCTAAGTAGTTTATTGCCATGAGAAACCCATCACAGGGAGGAATCGGAGGTAGAAACACCACAGAGCAGAACTCAAAGAAAATATGTAGCACCGTCCTCTGACATATTCATCAAAATGGGAAAAGTACCGGGATATGTGAGAAAGTGTTGTGACCTCTGACTTGGCGTTATGTAATCTTCCTTCAGAAATAACATTGCAATGTCCTTTCGTTATGCTTCACATCATATGTGCCAATGTCCAAAGGGAAACAGCAGGTGTTTATGTGAATCCAGAACTTGAAGACTTGCAAGTAATTTCAAGGAACCACAGTGAGACCACATGCACCTCTAAGACCCAATTTTAGAAAGAGATTTGTGTGTACAAAGGTCCTTTGTGTTGGGATTCCCTTTGCTATTACTTATCTTGCCAGCACAATTACTTTAAAAGTAGTTTTTACAAGTATTTCTTTCTAGATACTGTATTTAAAGAAATGGAAATGTAGGTAGGCAGGGTTGTGTGGTGGCCCACAAAATCCTCCGGCCAAAGGATGTCAGGTTTATGTGCTCCTTCTATGCTTGAATGTAGAAATAGTAGCTAGAGGCACTTGTCTTTCAAGCTTAAACTACCAGGGGCAGTTTTTTCTACAGTTAGTGAAAGATATGACATATGTAGCTAAGCTTCACATGTAAAGGAGGGGCTCTGACCTGGCTGCTGCCACTTGCTTGGAATGTCTTGACTGGCTGTTCTGAGGAGTAACTCCAGCTTGGTGCCCAGGTGCAGTCCAAAAAAGAAAATTGAGCATAGATCAGGAAAGAAGAGGAGGGATTGGAAAGCAGAGAAAGTTGGAGCGCTGCTCCCTAAATCTGAGTTTCAATTGCACCTTGAACTGTGCATGTGCAGCTCATTTCCCTCACCTCAGAAGGTTTAGAAGTATTGCATAAAAGTTGGTGAAGGATAACAAGGATCGTCAGAGATTTGGACCCTGTTCATAGAGTTACTGGGTAAACCTGGACTTTCAGCCTGGAAAAGTGAGCAGTGACTGAGAATGCTATGCATGAAGTGGAGAAAACTCAGAGTGCTCTGGAGAGAGCACACAGGAGCAAAGTGTTTGTCACTCTGTGCATGAGCAATGGGATACCAGATCCAAGCTAGTAAACTGAGTTGCAGCGAAAACAAGGAATCACAGAATATTCTGAGTTGGGAGGGACCCACAAGGATCGATAGTGGGTGAGGAGTTGTAGTGGATCTGTAAGAATCCTTTCCAAAGATTATTGTGGATGAGCTGCCGGGGGAACTAGAGGAGTACCGGAAAGAGAGGCCTCCTGAAGAAACAGCACCGAGCTGAGGAAATCCAAGGAAATCCAAAGTTTTCGGCTGTGCTGGAAATACAGTCTGGGAGACTGCTCAGAGGAGGCACTGTGCGTGTGTGTCCCGCTCCTGCCCATCTCTAAGCATCCTCTTCCGACCGCTACCAGCAGAATGGTGCAGGGCCGGCCGAGCAGCGGTCAGTCACACACCAGTTCAGGTCGAGCCTGCCACTAGGACCTCCGACACCTGCTCTCCGGTGGCACCCATCCCCTGCCTTCCCGAGGGCCGGCTCCAGGCGGGCCGGGACCGCGCTCCGCCTCCTCCGGCGGCACCGGCGCTGCGGCGCGGGCGGGGCGGGGGAGCGGCGCTTCCCGGCGCTCCGCCTGCCGCCTGGAGATTCCCGTGGGGAGCCGAGCCGTGCTGTGCCGTGCTGTGCTGTGGACCATGAGTGCGTGAGAGCGATACCGCAGCGTCTGGGAACGGGAGCGCCTGCGGCCGCTTCCAGGTACAGTCCGTGAGTCTGCGGTACCCGAACGTGAGTCTTGTCCGTCCATCCCTCCATCCGTCTGTCCTCTTGCCAGCCCCGGTAGGATGGTCTCTTTTCTCCTGAGGTTTAATATCCTTCCTGCCTACCCAGTTCTGTACACCCTGGCTGCTCTTTTCTGAGAGATCAGCATACTGGGGAGGGGAGAGAGACTTTACCCAGCGGAAAAAGCAGTCGGCAGTGCAGTGATTGGATCCTTCTCCCTGTCCTCTTCCCTGTAATAAGATGGAACAGGGTCCTAAAACTACGCGATGTAATCTTTCTGTGGCTATAATCCTTGGAGAAGCTTTCCCGGTTTTTCCTTAAGCTCGTCAGTTCAATTGATGGCTGGTTTTCCTGGATGCGAAGGATGAAAAAGCACTAATTTACCAGATTGTGTTGTAGGGGATGCGTTAAATCGGTGTGCGGGCAGGATGCGTGGGTGTGTGTGGGTGTGTGGGTGTGTGTTTATGTGTGTGTGCGGTGTCACCTAAGGATGTTAATGGGCTTGTCTTTTGCTGGGTATCTGCTCTGTGTGACTGTGGTAAAACTTCAGGTTCCTGTGCTGTGTGAGGTGGCAGCAGTTCAGGGGTAGAAGGAGAGTCGCGGATGTTAAATGACCCAAGACCAATGTGTTGCTTGTCAGCTACATCTATGTTGTGCTTAGTGCAGACTGTAAACTAAGGCAGCCCTAACAACCAGTGCCTCCCTGTCTGCCTGTGCGTTAAGCCAAATATAGCGCTGAGGGATGAGGAACTCTTTCAGTGGAATTCCCCTGAATAGAGCGGAGGAGGGCTGCCTCCTCTCAAAGGGCAAGAATGGCCTGAAAAATCAAAAGAGCCAGGAACAAAGAAGCACTCTGTACCTCAGGCGGCTATCCGTCTAAGCGAGGAATGTTGAGGGGGTTGCTTTCAGTGAGATTACAGCCATGGTGGGCTGAGATAACGTGCCATCTGTGGGAAGTTGGGACTAGGGCAGGCAGGACTGGGTCTCTAGGTTGTCTCTGTATTTTGAAAGCTGACAATAGTTTTTTGAGGTATAGATTCCCCCCGCTTATCTTATAGCTTCCAAATGAGATGCCTTTGAGAGAAGCTGGTAATCAGCTGAAAATCAAAGCTGAATGTACTCAAGACAAGTAGCTAACTGATGAGCTGTGCTGGAGACAACTAATAGGTAAGACCCAGCACTGATTTTGGATAACGCAACAGGAATATCACTCCTTTAAACAGGCAGGACTGAAACAGGGCACTGTAGATTTTGTTAAATCTTTGTAAAAGAGGAAAGGAAGTACTGGTTTAGCGAGGCTTTAGCTCACAGTGGTGCCACACATGGAGCAAACTGCTTTTTTTGTATGGTACAGTGAATCCCCGCTGGTTTACATTCTTCATGGTTTCTTTCTGCAGAGATTTTTGGGGACAGCATACTGTGTTGATACCTGTGCTCCAGTTGTATGAGTTATCTAAACAGTCCTTAGGGAATGCAGAGTCACTGTACCTGTTCATGGTCTGCAGGGTAAGCTGTTGTCACACCGTGTCAGAAATGACAGGCACAGTTCAGCACTGGAGCATTATCAGTGAAGGAATAAGAACTGAAAAAGCTGACAACATGGGATTTTATTTTTGTAACTCAGCATCGTTAAAAAGTGAGTTTTTCTTGGGGTGAAGACAGGAAGGAGCTATGTGTGGATCATATTGCCAGTTTGTGCTACATCACTGTAAGGGTCTGGTGTTATGACACGTACTAGAGCTGGGTGGAACAGGATGCCTGCATTTCAATGGAGGATACAGAATTTGTGATTGCACATACTTAAGCATTTTTTCCAAAATGTTAGTATACATTCAGGGGTATATGCAAGCACTGACAAGTGCTCTTTGCTTGGCATGAGTATGAGGGACTGAGCCACGTTATTCAACAAACACTTTGCTAGAAAATGAGCTTGTAAACAAAAGTTCCAGAGAGCATTTTGCAACTGCAGCAAGGACAATACAAAATATACAAACAGGAGGCAAAGACTAGCTGAAAGCTGTTGCTAATTTCTCCTCTATTCTAGCTGCTGTAAGAAGTACTATTAAAAAAACTAAATCACTACAATGAGGAACATGAATAGATGGTATTTAGTATGACTGTATTTTTAACTGGAAAATGTGCAGGATCATTGCAACAGTCCAGCTCACTCTTCCTAGGCAGTTCTAGAATAGCACTGCATGACTCAGATCCATGCATTCTGACTGTTTCGGTTTCGATTTGTTAAAATGCATATTCTTCCCAGAGTAAAATGTTCCCCAGGTCACCTGCTCCTCCCATGGGCCAGGTACTCTGCTTGTGTCTTGTCACATCTGGAAAATGGGCCAGAAATACCAGTAAACATGCCAGTAGGGAGATGAGCCTGGGAGCTGAGAGTCTGCATCAGCCAGCACAATGAAACGTTCAGATTCATAAGGAATAAGACAGAGGATAAATATGCTTGAGTCAGACTGGGGAGTGGGATGTTCTCTGAGATAATTGCTCTCATTGATACAAAGGCCAGGTGCTTTCTGCATGAGTGTAGTGTGCTGAACTGACAGTACTTGTCCGTCAGGACTGCGAGTTGATCCTCCCTTAAACATCCTGCAGGGATTCGGACACTATTATGCCATGTTTGTAATGATCTTTTCACAACCCAAACTGGTGTACATTTGCTCAATAGCATACCTACTGTGTGTTGACTTAATAGGTGTAATTGTTTCGGGACAAGGAACCTTTGACCGTGGATTGCAGAGCCCAAGGGTCCACCCTCAGTCGAACATGGGAATTGCCGGGTATTAAAGCTTGACACAAAACAGGAGATGCAGTGTGTGACTGGAGGAGACTTCTGCTGTGGCCTGCCTAGACTAGGGAAAAAGCTCCTTTCAGTCATTTTGGCTAAAATGAGTTTCTTTGATTTCCCAAGGAGTCAGTCAAGCTGATCGGAGACAACTGTTTTATGAGTCCTCTGTACCTCAGACCCAGCTCTGGTCTAGAAACCTGATGGATACTCACTGATTAATACTCAGCCTAGATATAAATGGCTGTGAACCAAGTATAACTGATGCAGATACAGAGTTGCATTTCCTTTCTTAACTGCCAGAGTGGGACCATCCAGTTTTATCTTCAACCTAAACAGCGGAAAGTGGGTTTTTTTGTTGTAGTGCATTTTTAAGTGAAGTAAGTCTGCTGCAGAAAATGTAAATATACTGCTTTCAAACCACTGTATGTCTAAATGTCAGTAAAAATTCTGTACTGTTTATGTAAACATAAAGTCTCGGCAAATAGACTTATGTGATTATGTGAATTTTTTGCCCTTAAAACCAGTATTTTTTCTGCATCATCTAAGTAGAAAAGAGACATTTGGCAATGAGGTTTTAGGTAGAACCAATTAAAATAAATTAAGTACTGTTAGTTAACACTACTGCAGCTTGCTGTTGTAAATTATAACTTGGCTACCTGTTATGATTTTAAAAGGGAATGGTGTTTTCTTCTGAAACATAGGTTTCACCAAAAGGCCAAGCATGGGTGTCTGCAAAGAGCAACAGTTTTGGGATTCAGAAGGTGTCTGGCTTTGATGGGGTTGAAGAAGGAACTGTATCAAGAAAGCTTCATGCTTAAGGCTATTACTGTGCTTCTGGCATTAATATAATGTGATACACATTCTGTACCCCGCTTGAAAAAAGATCCTGGTGCTTAATGAAAGGAAACAACCCCACACTTATCCCTCTTTGTACTGTCAAACAGAGGAATGTGGTAATGAGAAACTGAGTGACTTGACTAAAGCCACTTGAGGAGCTTGTAGCAGAGTCAGAAGCAGATCCAAACTACCAGCTGCCAGGTCTAAGCACTGAAATAATGCTTTCTCTGCTGACTGTGAATGGATATGTGAGGAGTTCTCGATGAAGCTGGTTATCACTCTGAGATAGTTCAGACCCACACTTAGCTACCGACCATGCAGATACAGAAGGTGTATCTTTTGGCCTTGATCTCCTGAGGTGGGTTAGGATTACAGAGATTCACACATCCCTGTCACAGAATATGGATCATATTCCCCAAGGTTAGTGAAAGTCTAATACCATAATGAATTCAGTGATGGTCTTCTGATGATGGTGTTGAGGAAACTGCTCCCATTTCTGTCGACAACATCAAATTTCTGTTTCTTTGGTTTGAAGTATGCAGGAAGCTCAAAGCATGCTACAGAAATGATGCAGAGTACAGAACTCTGTAGATACAGAGCTACAGAGCTCATGTCAGAGTTCTGATTCACTAGTGGTGTTAGCATAGCATGGGTGTCATCACAGGTCTCATCTGTCCACCTCCCGCCCCATTCCTGGACATCTAAGCCACCCTGGGTCAGCTGCTGAATCACTCGATTTACAGTGTGATGTTTTGAAGTAAATCTTCACTGATGTTCACTTGCCTTGTAACTCCTGACCTCAGAACTGCAGCAATTCATCAGCTGATGGATGAGCAGGATCTCAGTAGCGTGGGAGGCTGGGATGGTGACCTCCTTGAGTCTGTAGAGCTCTGCACCTTGCTGCTGGATGGAAGCCCTGACAAATCAGTCTGCACCTGAGTCTGGCTGAGTAGAGAGGTGGGATTTTAGTCTTTTATGACTGTAATATTTAAGAACCCTCTGTTCCCAAAAGAGCAAATGGCAAAACTGCTCTCTACTGCATTGGGAGCAATGAGGGAAATGCTGTGTGCTTCTGAAATCCCCACACTGCCTCAGTAAGTTAAAGAAGTGTAAGGCTTTAGTAGCACTCTTGTGTTTTCTTTGCATTTAATATACTTGTACTCTTATGTTAAAGCTCTCCATTTTGCCATCAGCAGTTGTGGCCAGTTCCTTAACACTTTGTGCTGGCCAGCCAGTAGATTTTCTGCCTTTCCTGATGGTATTTGATTTTGAACAAAATTTAACACACAGACTGAGGAGATCATACTCAGCTTGTGCATTAGTTTGATTTTAAACAAAG